TTGGTTGATATTTTCTACCCTGTCTTCTAATTCACTGATCCTGTCCTCTGCTTCCTCTACTCTGCTGGTTAGTCCTTCCAATGTGTTCTTAATTTCTGCTATGTCATTCTTCATTTCCACTTGGTTGGTTTTTAATGTTTCTATATCTTTACTCATTGTGCTGATGTCCTTACTCATGCTGTTGAGCTTCCTCAGTATCATGGCTCGGAACTCTACCTCTGATAATTTGTTTAATTGCATTTCATTGATCTCATCTTCAATAGAGTTCTCTTCTTCTTTCATTTGGGATTTGTTTCTTTGTTTCATCATTTTGGCTATCTCTGTGGGTGTTAGTGTTCTGCTGTTTGTGGCTCCCTCTACTGGGTTTGGATGGGCCTGGGAAGGCCCATGTTAACCACCACTGTCGAGTCTTCCTTTCCTGGGTAGATTTGCAAGCCCAGGAAAGGTTCAGTTATCCTCTACCTTTTTCCTGGTGGCTAGTAGTCTCAGTTGCTCAGTGCCTTGGAATGTAACCCTGGTGTTCTGCATAAGAGGATTTCCAGAGGGTGGGATAGATGTTGTTAGTAATGAGCCTCAATTTGCATTTCTTTGCCTCACCTGGGAAAGGTTGAATTTTCGAGGGCGCGGGGCTGCTGCTTTTCCCCACAGCTCAGGGAAGGTGCACACTGGCCACCGTCCCTTGTGGCTGCAACTCAGCAAAAACTCTGAGTGCCTTCCAAATCTTGGGTGTCCCCTCAGAGTTCCAGCCCATTCTGCCCTCCCTCTCCCATAGCCCCCAGGTGAGTGGCTGTGGCTATTTTAGTGCTTTGTCCTGGCTCTCTGCGCTGTGGAGCAGGCTTGGTCTTTTTTCCCCAAGGGTGCTGCTCACAGGTAAGACTGCTGTTGTCCATGGGCTCACAGTCTGCCAACCTCTTACACTTCCACAGATCCTACCAGTGTCCCTGATTATATGGTCCTGTCCTGCCACTTTTCTGTGGCTTTTTTCCGAGGATTTGTTTTTGTTTCAGTTTTAATTCATGTTTGGTCCTGGGAGATCGTCTGTGTAGCTTCTATTCAGTCTACCTCCATTTTCACATCCTCTAAGCTTATCTTATGTGCAACTGGGTCGCACAGGTCTTCCTGGTTCCCCCGCACCCTGCAGGTCCAGACAGTAACTGGATCGCACAGTCCCTTTGGAAACTGGGCTCTCTGCCTATGTTACGGGCTGCTGGGTCGCACAGGCCTCTCTGGTTCTTCAGCACCCCGCAGGTCCGGAGGGTAACTGGATCACACAGTTTCTGCTGGGTCGCACAGGCCTCTCTGGTGCCCCCGCACCTTGTAGGTCCCATGGGCGGGCAGCTGGATAGCACCAGTCTCTCTTGGGCTCCGGCTTTCCACTGCTCTTGTGGGCTACTGGACCGCACAGGCCTCTTTGGAGCCCCAGGTCCCACCGCTGGCAGCTGGGGAGTGCTGTTGCCCCATGGAGCTCAACTCCTGTTCCGCTTTTGCTGTAGTTTTTGGGGATGGGTCTCAGTTGCTGGTCTGTGCTGCTGTTGCCTGGGGATGGATGTCTGCTCCCCAGCCTCTGTTGCTGGGGGTATATCTTGACTCTGATTGGGCTGCTACTATGGGGGATGGTGCTGGGCTCTGGGCTGTCTGCAGCTTCTGCGACTGTCACTTGGGAGCTCCACTATTGTGCACTGGTCTGTGTTGACACAGAGTGTCCACTGGTCCAATGGTGCCAGGTGCACTGGTGGGCTCAGGTTGCTGGGCGCTAGCTGCTCCCACTGCCTCTTCCCAGGGAAGACCCAGGATCTTCCAAAATCATAAGTTGTATATTCTTAATTATAAGACAGGACTTTGTTCAAATCAGTCACCCAGAAAAGGAGACATATTTTGTTATCGGTGGGGTGCCTCAGGAACAAGAGTTTCTTGATGCCCCGAGGGGAAGGTGCGGTATCATGGAAAGATTTATTGATCATGTAACATTAAGGGAGTTTCCCTCCAAAGTCCCATCTCCCTCCTTCCCTAGGATCAAAGCCACTGCCCAGAGTCTTCACTTTATATTAAAGCACAGTCCAGTCCAGCATCTGGCTGGCTTAGCTTGTGTTCCTACCTGAAGTCCATTGTGTGTGGGGGCCATGCGGCTTTTGGGGCCACATGGTGGGCTAGTGTGGGTCATGGAGCAAGTGAGTGAAAAGAAGCAGGAGTGAAGCAAGAGGAACAAGGAGAGTGAGATGTGTTTTGTTTGTCTTGGAGTTCTCACCAGGAGCTTATCCAATTAAGCCTTCAGGATTTCGGGGCTTGCAGTGGCTCCACCTCATCTAGTCAGTTATCTTTGTTCCCCAGGTTAAACTGACAGTAAGTACCTTCCCTACATCACACTGACTTCATTGTGCATGAGTCCATTTCTCTCTTTGACCCCTTTCCCCAGTGATTTGGAGGAAATGGACTGGTGGTTTCCTGGGGAGTGTGGAGTTGCAGCTTCCTGGTGAAGCTGCCCATATGACCATGTGCATAGTTTCTGGCCTCCTTTTTGCTCTTTTTCTACTATTCATATTAATAACTAACTAATTATGCATCTACAGATATTTTGTATTGTAAAGTGTTCTCTTATTTTATTTTTTATAATAAGGTTTCTCTTGAGGAGAGCACTCAGCCTGAAACAGCCTTATTTTCGATACTTAGGGAAGTTACTAACAGAAATCCTAAAAAGGAAGTAAAAGGAATTTAACACAGTTTATTACATATTTCTTGGAAAATGAATTGAAAGTTGCAGGAGCTGAATACTGTTTAAGGAGCCTATTGAAGATCACTTTCAAAAGCAATGGCCAATCCCAAATCAGAATACTGTTTACCTTTGAAGAGCTGGGGGATGGGTTGAAGGACAAAGTGGGGCTTCAACTTTGTAATATCTTGTTTCTTTTAAAGAAAAGAGAGAAATCTGAAGCATATGTAGGAAACTTAAAAGTTGACCTGTTGTCCTGGCCAGTGTGGCTCAGTTGGTTGGAGCATTGTCCTGTACACCAAAAAGTTTCAGGCTGGATTCCCAGTTGGGGCACATACCCAAGTTGCAGGTTCCACCCCCAGGTCAGGGTGCATATGGGAGGCAACCGATTGATATTTCTCTCTCACATCAGTGTTTGTTTCTCTCCCTCTCCCTTTCTCTCTAAAAACCAATAAAAACATATCCTTGGGTGAGGATTTAAAAGAAAAGTTGATCTGCTATGCAGTGATAGGGATATTTATACTTGACTTTACTTTTCTTCATAATTAAAGTATTTCGTAATAAAAAAAAAATTCAGTGCCTGTGTTGTAGTCATGTAAACATTGATACTATGTATCAAATATCTTAGATGGAAATAAAGATAATTTATACCTGGGAAATTATCAGATGACTCACTGTGTTCTATTGATGAAAATTGTGGAGGAGGAAACAATTTTCCCTGTACCATTCTAGACCCCCACCCCCACCTCCATAATAAAAGACATTGTTATTATATACACACATATTTTCCTATACCAATGGAAATCCCACAAAGATAGGAGACAAAAGATAGCCAGGCAGCTGAGCTGAGGAAAGGGACAGTGGTCTGGGTGTTCACAGTGGGGGAGGCAATTCACCTACAGGTGGCAGGAGGCAATGTCTGGTAAACAGATGTTTGCCCAGACTTGGAGGTAAGTCTCTCAGATGAAAAGTTAGTTCTGGTAGTAACTCTGGTCCTGATACAGGCCCCTTCCCAATTTCTTTTAAGCAGTTAAGGAGGAGGTACAAAGCTCTCCTGAGTCTGCTCGGGTTTGATTACCTTCAGCTCAAAATTACCCACAAGCCAAAGTGACACATTCTGGGGTGGCTTGTTCTGGGTCCAATATGTGTTAACTTCCATTTTCAATTTTGGTATTTCATAATATAGTAAAATATCTTGATTTGGATAAATCACACGAGTTACCTGTAGGTACTATTAAAATAATCAAACAGAACAACTGATTTGATCTAAAAAATTTTATTTCAGTCCTGGTCGGCTTGGCTAAGTGGTTAGAGCATCGGCCTGCTGACCAAGGAGTCACGGGTTCGATTCTGGTCAAGGGCACGTACTTCAGTTGCAGTTTAATCCCCCGCCCTGGTTGGGGTTGTGCGGGAGGCAACCAATTGATGTCTCATATCAATGTTTCTCTCTCTCTCTCCCCCTCCCACTCTATCTGAAGATAAATGGAAATAAAAATAATCTCAGATGAGGATTTTTAGATTTTATTTCAGAGCCATGGCTGGGTAACTAGTTTAGAGTGTCATCCTGATACATCAAGTCTGTAGGTTCGATCCCCGGTCAGGGCACATACAAGAATCAAACAATGAATGCATAAATAAGTGGAACAACAAATTGATGTTTCTCTCTCTTTCTCTCTCCTTCTCTCTAAACTCAATGAATAAAACAAAATTTTTAAATTTCCTGCTTGATGAAGAGGCCGCCTCCCCTCGCGAGTCCAGAGAACTGCAAGTCAGGGGCAAGGGCTGCAGGCTTTTGTAGCAAGAGGCGAGCAGGAAACAAGGAAGAAGTACTTGGTTTGGCTGGGGGTGCATGTATGACCTTTTTTAGAAAGGTCAAAGTATAGAGTCCAGAGCTTGAAATAATTTGATACACTGATCTAATCAGCCATATTGATTATGTGTTGTGTATTTAGGTTTTCTCTTCTGAGCTATTTGTAGCCGGAGCCTAGAAATGGAATTTATCTCTGCATAGTTCATGCCTCTCTGGTTATTAAAGATGGGAAGGGAGGGGAGGTCTGGATCTAATTCAGTTTCCTGACAACCTTCAGGATAATATGACAGGCACATGTTCCAAATTGTCCTCATTTTTTATTTAAAGAGCATACTAATAAGGACCTTGAAAAATGATAGAGTTTTATGGTCTGCTATTGTGGTATGGCTTCACAGTATTATAATTCTTTCACTGAACTTTCATAAATGGGCATAGTTTGAGGTGCAGGGTTTCCACAGACATAAAAGTGTTTTCTACTTTCAGGTATAAAAGGAAGAGAACGTCTTCTGGACCTGATTGCCACACTGCTGGTTCTGCAGTTTCTTCGCACCTGGTTGGAACAAACAGGAGTAGTCTTCAAATCCCTGATGAAATTGGATGATGCCTCCATTTACAGGTGTTTTCTTTACCCATTTAACTGTATATTTTTATTTTTAAATATTATTTAATATTTAACTATATTTTTCCATTTAACTTATATTTATAAGTTATTTCCATTTTTCTATTACTAAGCAAATGACTTCTATTTTCAACCATTTCTTAACTAAATCTAATAAGAAGCCACATGGAACTGGAAGTACAAGGAGAATTTGTTCACAGGGCCTGACTTGCCCTCACTCTTCTGTGGGTGGGGCAGACACAGTATTTCTGCCTCTTTGGTTGCACAGGGAAACTCAGGGAGCTGAAGTGCAGCTTACACTGGGGCCCAGAGCTTTGGCTCCTGGCTTAGAACTCTCTTCACTATGGTGTGTAGATTCTGTGTGTTTTTGAAAAGGTCCAACAATACAAATGCAAACCTACATGCTATAAGTCTACATCTTTAAAAGTTAAAGTAGGAAGTTGTTAAATAAAGTATGTTCTAAAGTTTTACCTTGACAAATCTAACTTCATAACCACCTAGAAGACCAGACTGAAATTTAGAATTCTGGGATCACATGACATTTTATGCCAAAATGTTGCAGTGTAGAGAGATCCAGTTCTCAGGCTCTGACTGATAGCCCTTGACTGACCCCTGGTACCACAAGAGGCCTCAAGTGCATGTATGAATACCCCTTCCTTACCCATCAAAACTTCATCCCTACCCCATGCAAATGGCTCCCCTTGTGTGTACACACACACACACACACACACACACACACACGAATGTAATTTGCTTATATGTATATTTTAAAGGCTAGGTAGAGGGAAAACTAATAAAACTAATAAAAATATTATCTATAGGAGGAGGGAAAGGAGACAAGAATGAAAGCTAGGTTTCTCCTAATGTACCTTGTTGTTTTTTAAAATTATTTTTATTTTTATCCTCACTTGAGGACACTATTGCATTCATCTTCAGATAGAGTGAGCAGGACAGAGGGAGGAAGAGAGAGAGAAACATCGATCTGAGAGAGACATATCGACCGGCTGCCACTCACATGACTCCAACCGGGGCCCGGGACAAACTGCAACTGAGGTACATGCCCTTAGCGGGAACTGAAGCCGGAACTCTCTAGACCACGAGCTGACACTTTAACTGCTAAGCTAAACCAGCCAGGGCCTAATGTGCCTTGTTTTATAGTTTTGACTTAGAAACTGTAAATATTTTACATAATAAAGATCAAACATCAGAGAATAGAGCTTGAACATGGTAAATTATGCATGGGTATGTGCTCAGCAGTATCAGGGATGTCAGGAAATAAATGGCAAGACAGAAAAGAGGAGAGAGTTGGAACCTATAAATTAATGGTAATATGAACCAAAGGCAATGTGTAGACTTTGGATCCTGATTTGAACAAAATCCCCTATATTGAAAAAAAAACCCACAATAAGGGAAACTTAAACATTTCCTAGATATTTTGTGATAATAAAGAATTACTGAGAAGGAAAAATGGCGGCGGAGTGAAAGGAGCTACACAGACCATCTCCCAGGACCAAACTGGATTTACAGCGAAAATAAAGGCAAATCTTCAGGAAGGGGCAACCAAAAGACAACTTAGAGGATCACTTAACCAGGGACACTGACTCAATCCTGGAAGGCTTGCGAGGAAGAGAGAGGGGGCCGGGAGCCCACTGTCCGCAGCAGCCTGGGCAGGGACCAGGGGACTCGACAGGAAGTTGCTGCCTCGGCTGCGACCCCACCTGAGTCCTGTGAACTCTGCTGCCTGCTAAGCCCTCAGATGGTGCTGCATGGACCGGCACAGAGTGGCTGCAACCAGGGGACTTGGCAGGACGCTGCTACCGAGGCTGAGTCCTGCGAACTCTGCGTACTAAGACCTCGGCTGGTGCCGCACAGACTCACAGGGACCAGGGGACTCTGCTGGAAGCTGAAGCTACCGCGGCTTAGTCCTGGGGTTTCTGCTGAGTGCAATGTCGTTGGCTGAAAGCAGCACCCTTGGGTTAAAAGTCCCAGGCAGCTCCACGACACAGAGTCTAGACAGAGGTTAAATTGGCAGCAGCCACTCCCTTGGGCTCCGGCAGAGTGAAGGCAGACTGGATTGGAACTGTGTGGGAACACTGGGGTTTTGGAAGGTGCTAAGAGTTTTCGCTGGGTGCAGCCATGCAGGACTGTGGTCATTTTACTCCTTCCCAGGGCCCTGGGGAGAGGCGGAGGTCCCTCCCTCAGAGATTCAACCCCACATGGTGGCCATTGAAATGCTAATTGAGGCCCATTAACAACCAGCAGCTGCCCCACCCTCTGGAAATCCTATTACACTGAGCACCTGAGGGAGTTTTTGAGGCAACTCAGAAACCAAGGGTCTTCAGGTAACCTCTACTAATAGCATCCAGGCAAAAAAGGCTAGAGGATAACTACCATTCCCTGGGCTAGCAACACTAACCAGAAAAGCTAAGACTTGATGGTGGTGTTTAAAGTGGGTCCTCCCTGGTTCATCCAAAGACAGGAGAGGGACCCACAAACAGCAGAACACCAACACCCACAGGGAAAATTTGGCAGACTCCAAAGCCCACTGTGATAACCAAAATGGTGAAAAACAGAAACAAAAGCCAAATAAAAGAACAAGAGACCTCTACGGAAGATGAGATAAATGAGGTGCAGTTAAGCAAGTTAACAGAACTAGAATTTAGAACCATGGTGTTGAGGAAGCTAAACAGCATGTGTAAGGATATGAGCACCATGAGTAAAGACATAGAAATATTGAAAATCAACCAGTTGGAAAATAAAAACCAACAAGAAGAAATGAAGAATGACATATCAGAAATGAAAAACACATTGGAAGGTCTAAAAAGCACAGTAGGGGAAGTTGAGGACGGGATCAGTGATTAGAAGACAGGCTAGAAAAAAAACAACCAATCAGTAAAAGGAAAAAACTATTAAAAAACAGGAAGACAGCTTAAAAGAACTGTGGGACAACTGGAAACGGAATAATATTCGCATCATAGGAGTCCCTGAAGAAGAAGAAAATAAGCAAGGGTTAGAGAATATATTCAAAGAAATAGTGACAGAAAACTTCCCAAATTTAGTGAAGGAAGAAAGCATTCAAGTTCAAGAAGCACAGAGAGCCCCAAGTAAAAAGAACCCAAACAGACCCACACCAAGACACATAGTAATCAAACTGCCAAAAACTAAAGACATAGAGAGAATCCTAAAAGCAGCAAGAGATAAGCAACAGGTTAGCTACAAAGGAAACTGCATAAGGCTCTCAGCTGACTTCTCACAAGAAACACTACAGGCCAGAAGGGAATGGCATGAGGTAATCAAGGTCATGAAAACAAAGATCTGAATCCAAGACTACTCTACTCAGCAGGCTATCATTTAAAATAGAATGACAAATAAAGAGCTTCCCAGACAAAAAAAAAAAAAAAAAGGCTAAGGGAATACATTAGCACCAAACCAGCACTGCAAAAAATGTTAAAAGGACTGCTCTAATTACCAGGAGAAATGGGAAGAAAAATAGAACCACACTAAACAAAAATGGCAATAAATAAGTACATATCAATAATTACCTAAAATGTAAATGGATTGAATGCTCCCATAAAAAGACAGAGAGTAGCCGATTGGATAAGAAAGCATGACTCATATATATGTTGTTTACATATATATCCACCTCACAACAAAAGACTCACATAGATTGAAAGCGAAGGTATGGAAAAAAATTTTTCCAAGCAAACAGAAAAGAAAAAAAAGCTGGGGTAGCAATACTCATATCTGATAAAATAGACTTCAGAATGAAGGCCATAATTAGAGACAAAGAAGGACACTACATAATATTGAAAGGATATATCCAACAGGAAGATATAACCTTAATATATATGCACACAATATAGGAGCACCAAAATATATTTAAAAACTTCTGGAGGACTTCAAAGGAGAAATCGATAGCAATACAATCATAGCAGGGGACTTCAACACCCCACTGACATCACTGGATAGATCCTCTAGACAAAAAATTAGCAAGGAAACAGAGAGTCTAAATGAAGCACTAGATCAAATGGATTTAATAGATATCTACAGAGAATTACACCCCAAAACTACAGAATTCACATTCTTCTCAAGTGCACATGGGACATTCTCAAAGATAGACCACATGTTAGGGCACAAACTAAGTCTCTACAAGTTCAAGAAGATTGAAATCATATCAAGCATCTTCTCAGATCACAATGGCATGAAACTAGAAATCAATTTCAAGAAGACCATACAAACATTTGAACACATGGAAGCTAAATAGCATGTTATTAAACAATGAATGGATCACCGAGGAGATCAGGGATGAAATCAAAAACTTCCTGGAAACGAATGAAAATGAAGACACAACAACACAAAGTCTATGGGATGCAGCGAAAGCAGTTCTGAGAGGGAAGTTCATAGCACTACAGGCTTACCTAAAAAAAGAAAAAAAAGAAAAATCTCTAATAGATTATCTAACCTCAACTTAAAGATCTAGAGAGCAAACAAAAAGAAAACCCCAGAGCAAGTAGAAGGAAAGAATAGTAAATATAACAGCAGAAATAAATGACATAGAGACCAAAAAAACAATTCAAAGGATCAATAAAACAAAGAGCTGGTATTTTGAAAAGATAAACAAGGTTGATGGACCCTTACCTAGACTCACCAAGAAACAAAGAGAGAGAACTCAAATACACAAAATCAGAAATGAAAGAGGAGAGGTAACAACTGACACAACAGAGATACAAAAGATCGTTAACAAATACTATGAACAATTATATGGCAACAAATTTGACACTCTAAGCGAAATGGACAAATTTCTAGAAACACACAGTCTCCCTAAACTGGATCAGGAGGAGATAGAAAACTTGAACAGACCAATAACAACAGAAGATATTGGAGATGTAATCAAGACTCTCCAGCAAACAAAAGCCCAGGCCCGGATGGCTTCACATGGGAGTTTTACCAAACATTCAAAGAAGAACAAATACCCATTCTCCTCAAACTATTTCAAA